GTCCGCTATGGTGTAAAAAAATATATTCATTTATAAAACCACGCGTACAAGTCTGCTATGAATTTTAAAAATTATTCATTTTAAATCCACGCCTACAGGTCTGCTATGGTTTTTAAAAAATATTATTTTAAAAATCCACGCCTGTAGGTCTGATACCACTGATATGGCTTTTTATCAATATTCCCTAAATAATTTACATATCTGTAGGTTTTACAAAATATACACCTCTACTTTCTTCGCAATTAGTTTTTAATACTCGTTAGTTTTTCTGCAAAAACTATTCATTTTGTTTTGCAGTTCTAATTCGACATATTCCAAAAATAAATAATAGAAGAATACGATAAATAAAATAAATAAATGTAAGTGTTAGAAAAACAGCACACATGTTTGCAACTAATCAAATTTATACAAACGAATGCATTTTTAAATAGTACAGAATAATATACATTATTATTCTAACAGAGAACATTCATTTTGATTCAATGAATCATTGAAATATGTATGTCATTTATTTATTTTTGTTCATATTACAAGCTTTGAATGAAAGTTTTAGAAATAGAACAATGGTTATGCGGCAAGGGTTGCATATTTTAAATTAAAAAAAAAACAAACACAAACACATATTTTGAAAATATGTTACGCATTTTTTACACATTGTTTATTCGATCATTTAAATATAGAATGAAAACGAAAGACGTTAGAAACGATTTCAAATAAAGGGCAAAACTTCTCTGCTATTTTCAATAAGTCGTTATAACGATTTCGACCGTACACAAAGTGCTGTAGGGTCTCATATAATTTAATTTTTGTATTCTTATTATCTTTTTATAAAAATATCTCATGTTCTATGGAGCCGTGAATTTAGTTTGGTTTAAATCAGATATAGCGTTAATCCACTATTCATTACAAATTTATTTTGGAATTTTATGATAAATTCAATGATTATAACAATCTTCAACCCTGCCGTTTGCCTGTTGACCATTCGTTGCCGTTTGAAGTTCCAATAAATTTTGCGGTATTAAGTAAATTTATGTCACATTTTCCCACGGAAGCTTTAATAACAAATTGAAATGAACAAATTGAATAAAAATGCAAATTCTACAAAAAGAAACTATAAAATTAATTTGCATAAGTGAAATGGTTTATAAAATGAAGATGAAGGCAAACTCCGATTAACAGAAAGTATGTAAATTTGTTGCTATCAAATTTATCTGGAAGCAAACTAAAAATCATTTTATAATAGATGTATGTGTGTGTGCCTGTGAAATTTCTTAAACAAATATAAACAAAAACTATGTTCACCCCCGCCGCCAATCTTCTGTGCTAGATTCTTGGCAAGGTGTGAATACAAAATACTACCTGTTTAATCTTTTTGCTCGGTTTTGTTGTTGCTGTTTTACACAAACATACACATGATGTGTGTTTATATAAATATGTATATGGTAAACAACATTCAATAAGACCCTTATAACAATCACACAAATTAAAGCTTATCCAAATTATGTACACAAATCTGAATCCGAATCCAAATGGTAATGATGTTTTGCTGTCAGCAAACAACAACATGCTATGAATAATTATTTTCTCATCCATTGAATAAACAATTCTCTAACACTAAAAAGAATTTCAGAATTTCCTCGACAAAGTGCAGAGACAAATTGTGTAATGGAGGGTGGTAGACCAGCAGTCAGGCAACAAGTGGTGTTAAATACAGAAAATCCTCCTGCCTTTTATGTTTATCAGGTGGCAGGCAGAGTGGAGTTGGAAAATAAAATATATCTATGTTACAACAAAATATTTATATAAAGGAATTGTATACAGGCATCCAGCCAACAGATTATACATACTCCCCTCTCTTCCCACACTCTCAAGCCAATATATAACACAAGGCAACCGGAGCTATTTATAGCAAGCGGCGACGGCAAGTGTTTTGAATTTTATCTGGAACCAACGAAACGTAAATTATTTTAGATAATATAATGACCTTAAAGCGATTTCCCCCCGTCCATAGTTATGAAGGTATATAAACATTGTTTAACTGACGTTTGCCAACAGCCATAGCTACTGATAGGGTTTAGATTTTTGTTTGTTTGGATTTATTAGGAAGTATATATGTATGTGATTAAAAGACAAGATGTATATGTAGGAACATATATTGTTTTCCACATGATTAATATCAAACAAAAAAAATGTTTAAAGATACATCCATAATTAAATGTATATCTTTAAGGACTAAGCTTTAAATAAAGGTTAACAGGTTTAGGCAATATTTAAGTCAATTAGGAAATTATCAAAGTTGTATCGGACCTACATATTTGTGATGGTGTTCATAGAAGTCATATTAAAACCAAATACTAACATTATTATAACCTACAAAAAAAATTTGCGATGATAGTTGCGACCTCTGGAGCGACCAGAAAAACCGACAAAAATTTAGCATTTGGTTCATTTCATCCCCTAAATATTAACCGATCTTTTCCATAAACAATAGGGGTCTTCATTGGCCAGAACCCATCCTACATGCAAAATTTCGTGAAGATTGGTCCATAACTGTGGCCTCTATCGTGTTTACAAATTATAATGGACAGACGGACGGACGGACATACTTGTCTAGATCGACTCAGCTAGTCGAGGTATGACGATCGGTATACTTAAAGATGGGTCTAGGACCAATATTTCGCGGCGTTACACACTTTTGGGGCTGCTCAAAGCTATAATACCCTGACAACATAGTTGTGTAGGGTATAAAAAGATTCGGTAGAGCCCATATACAACGGAACACCCAACATTCCATATTATGGGGATGTTGGGCACGATTTTTATTTTGAGTTCTTAATGGGTGACAAATCTCACAAACAAAAATTATTCTTTTAAAAATCCCCGATTTGCTACAGCTCCCATATGAGAGTAAGCACACTATAGATACTAAACCATATAAGGTGGGAATTTTGAAATCGGTCAAGAATATATCAAAACATAGGGCTTCATTGAAATTTCTAAAATATATGACCTATATTTATAGTTTTTGGCGAAAAGATTTGACACCGAATTAAAACCCAACATACAACATTAGGGCCTATTCAATTGAAAAACTTGTCCAAAATCCTCAAAGTCCGCATATTTTTGGGGGTACCGTTATATACGTGAAATTGTTTATAAAATGAAGATGATCATTTTTTTTTTTTTTTTGTAGAGATATTTCATAGGAAATGAGAATCCTAAATACCAAGTAACAACCATTTCTGTTTAAAAACGCGCCCAAACTTCCCAAAACTTTGAGGTTACCTTTATATGGAGGCTATCCGAAAAAATTAACCAATGTTGATAATTTAATTTTTAGTGCAGAGATTTGGTGCCCAATAATAATACGAAGTGCCAAACATTACGAAATGTTGACAGTAAATTTATATGGGTGCAAACCGAAAAAATTGACCAATATTGATCATGTTGATAATTTTTAGTGCAGAGATTTGTTAAGTGTCGAATTGCAGCGAATTAACCAAATGTACCATATTTCAGCGAATTTGATTGAAAAATGCTCTCAAAACCCCCAAAACACCGAAAATTGGGGGATGCGTTCTTATATGGGGGAGGGGTTATGTCTAAACGTGGACCGATATAGCCCATCCTCGAACTTGACCTGCCTGTAGACAAAAGACAAATTTATGCAAAATTTTGGCGATCTTTCTCAATTTGTTTTTTTTTTTAGGGGCTGAGTGATTGAAACTTAACCCTACATACTATGGTGAAGGGTAAAAAATGGTTAATATTAAGCACATTTAAGTATAGCTCCCACCATAGCAGCAGAGAAGTAGCACCTACCCAGACACGAGTAGTCTTGGCACAGCTAAGATCCGGATTGTGTAACTTCCTCAATTAATATTGGGTACAATTTGATGTTTTTTTTTTGGAAATTGACTACTTAATTTTCCATTAAAAAAATAAATTCATGGCCAATTATGTTGGAAACCCAGTTTACAAAACAGGAGTAATATGCATTCCATATAATAATTGAAAAAAAAACATTGGGAATAAATATTAGGATTTTTCAAATTGCATTAAAAAAATAAAAGAAAATAAATTCAACACTAATAGATGAAAACTTGCATGCTTCAAAACAACATATTTCTAAATGTGTTGCATAAATAAAAAAAAATAAAAACAATTCATGTGTTTTTTTTTAATTTAATTAATAAATTTTATTTAGATTTCTTTACAGAACCTAAAAGGCTTAAGGGTTTACAACTATTAAATTATTGTTTCTCTTTATGTTTATGGAAGTTTGAAGTTGTTTGTTTTTTTTTTTACTTTTTCATTTTTAACTTGTTTGTTTTTATCATATTATTATCATTATTTTTTAAATTATTATTACAACTAAGATTTGTGTTTTTGTTTTTTATGAAAAAAATTTAAGAATTTTTTTTAATTTTTATGCTGTTTATCAAATTTTCTTTCCTGTGTATATCATTTTAAAAAATAATTTACCCATTTACGAAAAAAGAAAATATTTATATTATTAATTAATGAAAAATAATTAATTAATAATAACTATAATATAATAATAATAAGTGTATATGTATAGTAGTAGAGAAGAAAAAACCGTAGCAAAAAGGCGACAATAGTGGATTTTCTTTGTTGTTGCTGTGGTTGGTTTTGTTATTTTTTCTTTCAGTTTATCATTTGTATTATATTGTTGTTGTAGTTTTTTGTTATGAAATGTGTTGCTGTTTTGTTCATTTTGTGTTTATTGTAACTTTAAAAAAGTTTAGTTTTTGTTGCTTGAGTTTTTTCTTTTGTTGTTGTTTTTCTTTGTATTTTTATACTGGGAGTATAGTTTTGGAAAGTGAGTGTTGAAAGTGGAAAGTTTTCTTTTTTTTTTTTTGTGGCCTGGAAATGATAGGAAAAAATTATGTCCTGGGATGTTTTGTTTCTTTTTTTCGAGGGGAATATTTTTGTGTTTGATTTGTAAATATGTTTAGACATATATATGTGGGAGTGTGTTTATGCATAGAGTCTTACAGCAGAACACATAGGGATTTCTTGGGCTTTTTCTGTTTCTTTTCGGGTGACTTTTTGTTTATCTGTCTGACGAGGTCATAGAATATATCGACAACATTCACTTTTGCTTTGGCAGATGTTTCCATGAAGGCGCAGTTGAATTGAGTGGCCAACGATTTGCCCAGCTCCTTGCCCACTACACGTTCATCTTCTAAATCGCATTTGTTGCCCACCAGAACCATGGGTACATCATCTGTGTCCTTGACGCGTAGAATTTGCTCCCTCAAATCTTGCAGATCGTTGAAGGTGGACTGTGCTGTTATCGAATAGACTAATACGAAACCCTGGCCATTTTTCATGTACAAATCCCGCATGGCGGTAAATTGTTCTGTACCCGCTGTATCCAATATCTCCAACATGCATTGTTGGCCATCGACTTCCACCTGTTTGCGATAACTGTCCTCAATGGTGGGATCGTATTTCTCAACAAAGATACCTTGTACAAATTGCACGGTTAGAGCGGACTTGCCGACACCACCACTGCCCAAGACGACAATTTTATATTCACGCATTTTGATTTGTGTGCTGGCTGCAGCAGTTGTTACTGTTGTTGTTGTTCTTGTCTGCTTCCGACTGGCTTGTTGGGTGGGCTGATCTTCTAGCTGGGTTGGTTGTGGTCAGCAATCAAGAGTGTGGATTAAATATAGTTTGACGTTTGTTATTGATGATGATTGTTTCTTTGCTCTTGCAGTTGTAAATAAGGCGAATTCCTACGATTTATTATCTCGTGCTCGTTAAGTGGCTCTGCTTTGTGGATAGTTCACCGGGGGCTAGGGTTAAAGGTTAGCATGCAATACTCCCCCTTTTGTGTTCTTGAATTTTACTTTTTTTGGGGGAAACACAAATGTTCTGGAAGATATTTTAGAGTCTTTATGGTGCGGTGACTTTTTTTATTTGTGTGTTATCGTCGTATTGGTGTGCTTGCTTGCTTGGCTGTTTGTTGTTTTATAGGCGTTGTTTTAAACAAAGATTGCTTACAGTTGTGTTGTTTTAATATTTAATATAAAATAAATCCAAGTAGTGAATTTCCTTAATTTGATTTCTTATTATAACTATTTTATTTTGTGTGTTTTTGTTTTACTTTCTTTTCTTTTTTGCTCGTTTTTCTTGATCAGACTTTATTTCAGATGATGATTATTTAACTTTTTGTTGCTGCTATTGCCGCTGTTGTCTCTGCTTGATGTTATTACTATGCCGTTTGCATGAAGATGATGATGGTGTATGTGTGTGCTTGCTGGCTCGTTCCCCTATCTCTGCCGCTCTTGCTCGTTCACACTCTCTCTCTCTCACTCGTTTTCAACAAAGGAAATTCTGTTGTGTTGTCCGTAATTAATAACAAGAGTGCACTCCTCTCAATCTCTTCGGCTTGATGAATAGGGCCTTGTCTTCTTCAACTTGTTGTTGTTGCTATTGTGTTATTCTTTGCGGCTTTTTGTGTCTGTTGAACACTACTTTTAACGTTCAATATTATTTTTTTTTCACTTTTTTGGCACTATTATCTTTTTGTTAAAAACGAGTACAATAGAGCTACTGCTCCTCTTCTTGTTTGCTAGCTTTCTGGAATTTACCTCAATCGCAAGTGTGCCGCCGCAAAAACTGTAATCAAATTTCACCTAAAAAACGTAGATAAAAAACCACATTAAAACATTTCTGTAACGATGATATTCTACTGTAGCATGAAGTATCAAATTTTGAAAACGCAACAACCCCGTTGTTACTCTTTCGACATTGTAGCTCTGTAATATTGCAAGAATTTTTACTCCATTGTGTTTCTTTCTTTATTAATTAACTCATTACTAAACTTTGCACACAACAAATTAAATTTTCGACTCAAACTAAGGCATTTTAATGACTCACCACAAACACACAATTAACTCTTGCATTAAAAACTCACAAAACAATTTCTTTGCATGGCATTCGCCCTGGCACACACGCACACTGCCACACAACTTCTTTACAGCAAGCATTCACAACTCACTGCACACATACATACATTTCTCTTTTATTAGAGCAGGGTTAGCCAACAATACATATACAAACTGCTATGATTGTGTTGGACACACGCATAGATCCGTTGGGAGAGTAATTTTCGCTCTCTTGGTACAGATCGTCTATGTTAAAGCAAAAGCATACGACATGTTCGATGTCTTGAACACAGAACTGTACTCTCCCAAAGCGCCCACGGGCGCCTGTTTGGTGAACAGTGTATTAGAGCCACACAAAAAAAAATTAACTTGCCTTTCTTTCATTTGCTTTATCTCATAGAGGAACAGAAAAATAAATGATCAAACTTTGTGCGTTCTTTGGATTATCTTATCAGACAATTTGTGCTTTTTTCATATGGCTAGAGAAAAACACTATGTTTTCAATTATTTACCGGTTTCTTTTTATCACTAATGTTTCTTTTTGTCTTTTTTAAGTCCAAAAAATACGAGCTTAAAAATTCTTGTCTCTATTCGATTACGGGCGTCACATCAACTTGATGAATGCCGATATTGCCAGCAGCTAAAAATTAACTTTCCCCGCAAATTTATTGCTGGGAATTTCCAAACTTTTGAGCCAGGGTAATATTGCTAAACGTAAGTGGGGAAGTTTTAAAACAATACTTTTCAGATGACAACAAAATTAATCTCATTAGTGGAATAACAACTTAATCTATTTGCTTATTTGAGTAGGTTAATACATTTTATTTATTAAATAAAAGATAAATAATTAACAAAAAACAAAATAAATTCCATAACATTATCACTTTTAGACGTGGCAACTCTTTTAAGTTTGTTTCACATACAACTCTGTAATGGAGACTCGGAGACTGAGGCCACGTTACTACATGCAACGGCGTACAAATATTGAAACGGCGTCGGCGTTGTTGGCCCTGTTATCATTTTACTGTGAATAGCAATACAAACTGTATTAAACGTTTTAAAATAGTTAAAAATTACTAAAGAAATGTTGAAAATCTTGTGGTGCCAGTTTGCAAAACTAGAGAGTTGTTGGATAAAGCACATTCTCCAACCGAAATTCAGTAATTGGTGGGCAAATTCAAGCTATTGGGGAAAACAGAAGAACATCTACAGCTTCTCATTCTGAGTGTGTATGATATATCCTTCTCACCTTTTTGCACAGCATGTATTAGGCTACATAAAGGTTAGTACGAACAATTATAAAGGGTTGTCATTTTGTGAAAATTCAGATATGAACAAAATTCTCATAAAATCTTGGTTTACAATTTTCCCGACCCGCAACCACTTTTTTTGTATATGGCAAATTTGTTCTCTATCTGCGTAAAGTGGTTTACGCAGATAGATAGGCTAGCTTTTTCAGTTGTCGACAAAATGTACATGGGTGACCATATTTTCGCAGCCATTGTATACTACTATTATTTTGGTTGTAAGGGCGCAGGAAGAATTCAGCGATAGTTTTCTTTCGTTAAACATTTTTTTTTGCATTCCAACAATAATTTCAAACATAACTAATACATTTTCAATCATATATATTTACTACAAAAAAGTTATCAATTTCCGTAAAATGCCACAGATGGGGCACCTTTGAACATGCACATTAAAAGCATTGAAAAACGGAGTTTTTATCTTTTGGCTTCGATTTCTCAAAATTTCAAATGGGCTAATAAGACTACGAGATCAACTGTATTTTTCACCATATTAATTTTTGTTCTTAAGGGCCCGTACAGCCTTTATCATAGTATGTGTTATTTTTTGAAAGTTTATTTATGTGTGTGTGACACACACAATGCATGAAAAAAATCAAAATAGTTTTGATTTTGAAAATGAACCCCTATCAATCTGGTGAATAATATTCATTTTGAAAGTTGTCAGTAAATAATTTTGTGTACAAAAATAATAAAATTGTGACGGAATAAAAAAACAACCGAATTTACGACTCAAAATGCAATTTTTGGAACAAAAATCGATTTTTTGGAATAGTGATTGAAGAGTTTGCCATACACTAGTCTATCTCACATATAGCGATGATATCCGTTTCTCGTTCGGTCAGTCCTTTTATTTTGATGATCTCTCACTTACGGTCTCTCACACTTTCTCTCCGTTTAGTTCTTTTCAACACTGGTATAGAACAAGGTAGATATACAAGGTAGCCGCATCGGCGAATTTCTACAACAAACATCGGTTGTTGTATTTTGATATATCAAAAATGTTTTACCAAAACAAACAGATTGACAAGATTTTTTTACACAAATTCTTGTAGAAAATGTTAATAAAAGTATTGCCAAAAAAGGTATTCGAAATTCGGAGATTTTCATTTATAATTTTGTTTTTTAATTTTTTGGTTCAACATTACAACAACATTTTTGACATTTATTTGTCCAACAGCTGGGTCGATGCGGCTACCTTATTAAATATACCTTGGTATAGAATGACCATTTTTGGTTTCAACACAAATTAAAAAGTTCATAGTTTTATTATTTTATATTTGTATTTTTTATTAATATTACTTTTATTGGCCAACACTTTGGGCAAACAAATAAAAAAATACAATTAAAAAAAAATACAAAAATTCGTTACAAAAAAATTAACGATCAATTACAAAAAATAATAAATGGGAAACATAAATATATATTTTTTTGCAAAACAAGAAAATAAAGCATTGTTATTTCGTTCGTATAAAAAATTAGTAACGATTTCCATCGGCATTGAATACGCTTAGCGAAATGTTGTTTGTTTTCACATTGTTTAAGAACATGACGATTTCATTTGGCGACATTGCAGATGATGTTCAGCGGATTTTCGTTACCATACCAGCTGCAATTGTGACACCAGAAACTCGTAACATTATACGACCCAATTCCTTAAAGTCCGAATAGCATTCTATACATATGGGCCTTGTAGTTTCCAGCTCAATGAGGGCACATGTGTTGTTGCCCAAACAACGTGGTTTCTTCTTAATCACCTCTCCAGTACCCTTGTGTATCTGTGCGTTTAGTTTACTAATAACAGCCGGTTCGATGAGTGACTGATGATGCAATAGCACCGGGAAACCAATTGTAATCGGTACTTTTATGTTGAAAATTAATATGCGTGCTTGAAAACGTGTCGTCACCGGTATTGGATGCTGGGGGTCACATATAATGCCACCCACAGTAACATTATTCACATCAATTCCCGACAATGTAATTGCCACTTGATCACCGGCAAAAGCATTGTTTTGTGGCATCTCATCTATAAGCAGACTTTTTACTTGACCTTGTTCTCGTAGTGCTCCCACCAATACACGATCGTTGACACACAAGGCACCGGTTTCAATGCGGCCCGATATACAAAATCCGGAAGATGTACCCTTGAAGATATCCGATATGGACATGCGGAACGGTTTGTCCACAGATCGTTCAGGAATTTTGAAATTGTCTATTACGGCCAATAGATGTGGTCCTTTATACCAGGCCTTGAGAGCAGGCTCAGTTGCGGGTTTGGCGAGATTCTCTCCAGTTAGACCCGAACATGGAGTGTAAGTAACATCAGATTCTTTGTAGCCAGCTTGCTTGAGAAAAACTTTAAGTTTTTGAACGATTTCATCGAACCGCTCCTTAGACCAGTCCACAGTGTCGAGTTTATTTATAACAACACCCAGTTGATTGACACCCAGGGAACGTACCAAAATGGCATGTTCCCTCGTTTGGCCACCCAAATCAAAACCAGATTCAAATTCTCCACGTGTGGCATCAATAACCAATAATGCCACATCGGCTTGTGTAGCACCAGATATCATGTTGGGTATAAAATCTTTATGACCGGGGGCATCAAGAAGTGTTATAATTTTAGTTTCGGTTTCGAAACGGAAATGTCCAACATCCATTGTGATACCTTTAAAAAAAGATGTGATTTTTAAAACACAATCTTAAAGCTGTTATGCATCAAAAAGTATATATTGTTCATTTGCTGCAAAACCGGCATAAATAAAAAAACGATTCGAACAATTCTGCATCACTAACTCAAAAATCACCATGTTTGATTTATGCCGATCTTGCAGCAAATGGGCGATGGATTCTTAATCATTTCAATTCGAACACCTTACCTCTAGCTCTTTCCTCGCCAGTCTCATCCAACACCCAGGCATACATAAAACTTTGTTTACCCAATTTCTTTGACTCTTGTTCATGTTTGTGCATAACTCGTTGTGAAACATTGCCGGTGTCATATAACAAATGACCCATTAGCGTACTTTTGCCAGCATCGACATGACCAATGACTATCATGTGGAAATTATGTTTTTGATCTGAACGCTCCTTGACATATAGCTGTTTGGCATCACGTTGCGATTGTTCTTTGGAAACTTTAAACAAATTGGCATCCACAACACCGCTTGCAGTCTTTTTATTGGAATCGTCTGTGAAGTCGACAGGGGTATTGCGCCCAGACATAGCTGGTGAGCTCGGCAATGCCGGAGAGCTTACCTCAAAGCCTCGTTTTACTTCACTTTGTGCAGCTGTTACCTTTACGACTGGTGTCACTGGTGCAGGTGTCAATTTTTTATCCACCAATTCACTTAGTAGGATATTTGGGGCTGGCGGGGCTTTGCCAACAACATTAGATGTCAACTCCTGTTGCAAACGTTTGGCCTTATTCTCGGTCTCATCGTTTAGAATTTCATCCAATATTTTATTTATATCATAGGCGAATTTTATCGATGTCTCCACAATACGCTTCTCCGATATGGTGTCGCCCACAACACTTCTCACCTCGTCTATGCACGATGTCAGTTGAGCTTTCTCCAAATCGTTCAATGAAGGCATTTGAAAATTGTCCGAATCTCTTCTAGACTTTTCGTATGATTTTTCATCTTCAGCATCCTCGTCTTCCTCCTCTTCGGCTATGTCTTTGTTGTCGCGCATAAACGATGACATCGACTGATGTCCTCTGGCCCTATCGTATAGCCATTGCTGGGCATCTGTGGGCGATATACAGCTGTCGTCGTCCACGGAGTGACCGTAAACATCATCATATCCGTCGTACTCGTCGTCGTAGTCCATCCTTCGAACAATTCTGTGACGTGACATGTTTCTTGTGTTCGCCTTTTAAGCACACTCCAACAGCAACAAAATAAACGTTCGCAGCTTTGCACAGTCGGCGGAATTTCATAAATTTAGTTTATTTTTTGCTATTAAATGCAGCGATTAAACTTTCGTTGGTCTTTTATAATTTTGTGAAATTGTTCTTGCACTACTCGTGAACACATTTGAACAACAATTACAATAAAAATGAAAATGCGAACGACAGCTGTTATCACTGAATAGTTTCACAACACTTAATTTGTTGTTGTCTAGTTAGTGGGAAGGTGAAGTAGTGAACGCAACGTAACGTAACACGTACTTTACATTTACATTACTTAAAACGGCATTTACATTAGAACTTTTTACCGAGTTAACCAACAATATGAGGAATTATTTGACATGCATACAAAGGAATTGACAATTGAAACCCACTGGGTTAACGAAATCCCGCACAATGTAAACGTACTATAATGTCGTAAAAGGACTGGAAAGTTGTTTTATGAAAGAGGTTACTATCATGGTTCAATAATACAAGGTAGGGCAGCTTCAGCTGAATATCAAAAAAGCAACTATGTAGGTGGTGGCTTTTTCTTCAAAATATAAAATAAATATACGCAGCAAGTGTTTGTGTTTATCTGATATTTTTTCAACACAACTTAAAAAAAATAATGACAGGCTATGATTTCTTTCCTAAGTCCAGTGGGGAATACCATGAATATTAATTTCATTCATAACAAAGTACTTACTTGCAGACGGACGCGTTATGATGGAACAAGCCACCTTGAGAAAAAATTTCAATCAGTTGGTAGCTGTGCCCTACCTTGTAATAATTGTAACATGGTTACTATTATGTACTTGTGTTATCAATTTATTGCTAATTTTAGAATGCATTTAGAACTGTTCACAAATCCAGTGGGTTATATTTGACGTATACGCTTTGGAATTGATATTTGTGATCGAGTGGATTTCGTTGCATTGGTTGGGTTCCTGGTCATATCAAAATCAATTGGTAATCTGATGAATTTGCTCGTTATTCCGATTTACAGAAATCGTATATTTCACGTATGATGCATGGCCCAAAAAACAGGTCATGTGAAAGCGAAACGATTTCACCCAAATTGTCAAAATGCTTTCAATTTTGACTTAATCGTGTGAAAACCTAAACAAAAATTTTGACATTTTAAAGGATTTTCTACCAAAGTGGCCGATAATATTCGCTTCTTCCATCCCCTGATTATTGGGCCATTGTTCGGTGTAAATGTACCCTCATACTTGTATTTTTTGGGAGGGATCTGAAGGTTGATACTGCCGATTATTACGTTACGTCTTTTTCACTAATTCATTCACTAGGGTTGCTGAATGGTAATAGATATTTACTACAAAATATATCAACATTTCATTGTATGTTTATTTTTTTGAGAATTATTTTGCCGGACAGAATTTTTTTACCATGTTTTTAGCATTACAATTATAATTATATAATAAATTAGATAGCTCCCAAGATCGATTTTAAATCAGAGTAATGGAAAATATTGATGAGAAATATCGTAAACCAAGAAGAACAAAGGGAACCCCTTCATATTATTATCGCAATCGATTTGCTGCGGCAGGAATTGTTACGGGAAGTTTACTCTTTACGTTGTGGTAGTAAGTTTCACAAAAAAAAAATCCATTTCACAACATTCCCTTATGAGCTACATTTTTTGTTTCCAGCTTTACACCAATATTCCAAGGAGCCTCCGAGAAATTTGCCCGGGAATATTTGACAATAACAGACGAGGAAAAGGATCGTAAATATACATTTAATCTAAAAGCAAATCCCCGTACATCTCGAGCCATTCAAGAAACCTTGGAAGAAAAGAAGAAATTGATTTCGGAACGCTAAATTTGGGGACGAGCTAAAGCTAATGTCATGATGGATCGTGCCACTCGTAAAGCTAATCTAAAGAAACTACAATTGCCGGGTACGGCGACTACGAGGCAACGGTATGCATATAAGTACTTCCATAACTCAATTAGTACAATTTCAAAAAACTAGATGTAGTTAACTAAAGTACAACAAATAAATGTTTAGAATTTTTCAAAAACAAACAAAATAATGGTTTTTCTTTCTTTTCTATTTTAAGTAAAAAGCAACAAAACGCCCAAGAATTGGGTACGGCGGTTATTTCAAATTATTTTGCTACAGCAGAAAGTCATAGCAAAAAATCACCTGAAAAAAAAGTGGTGGAAGAGGAATCATCAGCACCTAATGATAAACCTAAGAATCAACTTGATGAACCTCAAGAGGAGGACGTAGTACAAAAACCAAAAGTGACACGTTCTAAACGTACAAAATTGGATGCATTTGTATTTAAACAGCCGAAAGCAATAACATCCGAGGAAAAGTCTGACGCACCAATCATACATGATGATGATTTTGATATACCCGAAAAGAAAGTAAAAAAGGCACCACAATCCACAAGGACTGAAAATACCAAAAGTAGTAAGACGGCGAAAAAACCAGCACGAAAGAAAACACAAACAACATTAAAATCTGCATTTCTTCGTAATGAAGAAATGTTTGCTGAAATTGCTGCCCAACACTGTGCTGTGGATAATGTCGATGTTAATGAAATGCAACTGGTCTTAGCCATTTCAAAATCAGAAGCCGAAAGTAAAGGTTTAGCTGTTGTCGAAGAAAATTCAAATGATGGCGATATTGCGGTTGCTAATAACGATGTTGAGGGACCTGATGCAGAATCAATAAGACAAAAATTGGCAAAATATGGATTTCGTACAGCAGAAAAAGAAAGTAATAATTTAAGTAGCATTTAGTTATTTCTTTTGAAATTGTGAAAACGTCGATTAGCATGTGCTTAGCACTTTTTTGATATATTGATGAAGGTATTCGAAAAACATCTGACTTCTGAGATGTTGTTTGTTACAGTATAAAATACTTCTTTAAAAGAAGTTTTCGTCTTTGGCCTGTTAGCCCCAATTTAAAGGCAATCATTTATTTAGGGATCAAAATATATGTGGAAAAGTATCCTTTAACAAGGCCCTACAGTGGGTCTAAACAATTTCCCCCTGGATGATAATATTAACTTTTATTTACACCTTTATCTCGGGTCCTACAGAGATTCTAAACAATTACAATCCAAGGAGCTGGTATTAAATTTTATTTAGACTATTGTTTCGAATTAAATTTAGCTATTGGAAAAATGAGCTGCACAAATTTTCGAGGTTGTGGTTGATACCACAAGGTTTGCCCATAAAAATCCCATTAAACGATAGTCCTGTAGGGCAATTTTGTAACTCTTTTCAATGTTAACGACAAATATCGGTAAAATTAAAACACTTTGTTTACTTTGTTTTGGTCGTTAATTTACCGAATATTTTTGTTAATAAACGAAATTATAAGCAAATGGAAATTTCAAGTTATCGATATATTTATTTATTTATTGTTTGCTTTCAGCTTACAAAGCATTTACTGAGGCCTTTATGTCGAAAACTAAAAAAGGTGGCAAGAAATCGAAATGGGCTAATAAAATTACAACATTAACACTGCGCGACGATGAGATGCAAAAGAAAAAATTACAAGAATATATTGAATATATTTTAAAACAACAATTTTGTAAAATAACTCCACCTATAGAGGAATCCAAAATAATTTCATATCAAATACAAAGCAAAATACTTAAGGCCCGACGAAAAACGGATATTAAAGAAAAAGTCGTGCAGTGTCCAGAACAAGAAAACATATCATTAGAACAATTTTTCGTAACTGAACTATTTCAAATCAGTAAAGTACGTGCTGGACATTTACTGCGAAAATGGGAAGCAATACAGGGACGTGATTTTACACCGAAAAAACAAAATCCAGCTGCCGAAAAAATGTCATCGAGAATGTGTCAAATTTATGCAGAACTAGAAAATTATTATTATGCTCTTAAACATCCGCCGATAGATGAGGAAATAACGACAAATGAAACTGTTGCCTCATGTGATAAACCTGTTGATTATTTTAAAAACTTACATGTCCCAAAAGATGAAGATACGCTATTGCCTTCATCTGGAAGTTCAATGTCTAGTTCAATTTATAAGCAAATTAAAAGTTTAATACCACCTACCAAAAGTTTAGATTTAATGGATGTGTCTGCTGCGTCTACAGATACAAAAGCGGCCACTAACAATTCATCGGAAACAAATTCTACACAAAATTCCCAAAAGAGTGATTCTTCTCTTACCTCGGAAAATTTATTGTCACAACCAGAATGTGTGAACTCCTCGTTGGCCACGGGACAGAGCAGTAAGGAAATTAACTCTCCAAGAAAAGTAAAAGAACTTGTTGTAACATCCAATGCAAAAGACATTCCGAAATCTCCTATATTAAATACAACAAATAACTATAAGCCACCTATTGTCGATGTTACCAAAGTCTCAAATCTTAAAGCAATATCTTCATATTTCACACCACAAAAATTAATACCAAGTGGTAGTATAAATTCAACACAAAAGCCTAGGCCGAATTCACCGGACTTATTTGCCGATTCTGATGTTGAAATGGATGATGAAGAGTCGGAAGATGCTAATGATGGTGTTATTAAAGGTATGTGGTCATATTTAATATATATTATACGTGACTTTAATAGTAAAAAATATCATTGTGTTTGTGCACACGAAGCGTTCTGTTATTAAATATATGAAAGTTGCATACAACACATTATTACATACATATCATTGAATGTATTTGTATATTCCTTTATAGAGTCGAAGCTTCTTTGCACTATAAGTACTGAAGATGCTAATCCAAATACAATTGAAATGATTTCCAGCGATGGAGGTGAGCTTGACAAATATTTGTGTCCTATAGTATAATTCAATTTTGTTTTTTATTTTTTATAGCAAAGAACAGTATTTCGGCAGAATCCGACAATCATATTTTCAACAGAGGTAAAACTCGCAACAAAAAGTTTTGAATATTAACAGGGACATTTTTGTACTTGTCTTTATTTTATTTTTAGTTACCCACAATGATTGTTCAAGGAGCGGAAAAGATGCTGACAAAAATGTTATTGAAATAACTTCCAGTGAAGAGAGTAAGTTTTTTATATAACAATTTTTTTTTAAATAAATACCTATTAATAATCATTTTTATATAGCAAAGGACATGTTGTCCTTGTCATCGCCTAAGAACACAACGGTTACAGAAAATGGTAAGATAAATAATAGTTGTATAACTTGGAAAAATTCTCTTAATTGAAATTCTAATCACTTTAGCTGCTCTAATGGAAACCAGTGAAACTGAGGAAGAAAATTGCATTGATTTAACACAAGATGCTGAGGAACAGGGAAATTTCAATGCTATACAAAATCATAGCAAATCCCTAACAGAAATTGATATATTTGCCGACTCACCATTAAACGATGAAGAAATCGAAAATGCACTAACTGATATAAATAGTAATTCGGCAACATCGAAATATGTAAATAAGGATAATAATTTTAGTCTATCATTAAGTTTAGCCACAAACAATAACGTTTCCCAAGATGATGTATTTACAACACGACTTGATTTAGTATCTCCCGAGAAGAAAAAGAAACGTTTAGATGGCGATGACAATGTCTTACAATTTTCAAATGCAAATCTCATCGATAATGTGGATCAAAATGAAATGACACTTTTCTCAACTAAATTTGAAGTTGATATCTGTCAAGACATTAGCCATTTCGGTGATGAGAAAATTGCATCTAATGGGACAAAAGCAAGTAAGAATACCATTACGGAAGTCGTTCCTGAAGAATGTTCGATTATTACATCCAAAGAAAATGATCTTGATATTGGTTCTTTCGATCCAAAAGAACGTAATCAAAGTCTTTCCTCAACAAAATTCGACATAAGTCGTGTTGGTGATGAAAAAATATTCGCAACAAGGACAAAAACCAATTCGTGTATTAATGCCACTGTGGAAATAACATCGGAAACAAGTTTTGTAACATCTAAAAGAAAAAATCGGCGAAACGATGACAATGTCACCTCGACGTCTGTGGAATCAAATCCAAATCTCTTCTCCACCAAGTTTGAAGTTGATATCTGCCAGAACATTAGTAGTTTTGATGATGAAAAAATTCTTCCACAAGTTTCAAAAACGAAGTCTATTGATTCAAATTTTTCTCTGGACATAAGTTTTAAGTCAAATCAAGTAACTTTAAATAAACATCAAATCTGTGATATGGATAACAAAAAGTCGAATGCAAATCCTTCTTTATTGGAAAATAACGAAATTATAGAAATTCCCGATGATAATGAATCCGATCAAGATGGGGAAGAAGATTTGGTCTTAAGGGAAATGGAAATGAATCAAAGTAATCGATCATTTTTAAATTTCCAAGGAACAAACCAGTTGCAAACATCGTTTCATCGTAAAACGGCCACAGTGAATGATGATAGCCAAAGACGACCAGCGGTAGGTGGCAATGATACAATATTTCGGGAATTGTATGACAAATATTTGGGCAGTGGCAAAAAACATAAATCTAATGAATATTTGTGTAGAAGAAGTTTTTCGCAAATCTTGCCCCAAAACAAAACAACACCTGTCAAGAACACGAATCAAAGTAGATCCAATATGGATTTGGAAATGACTGTTGAACATTGTATAACAAATAGAAAATCTTTGTCATTTCATGCTGCATCACCGGAGAAGGCAAATCTGCATTCAACTAAATCACAATCGTTTAACATTGAAAATCAAAGCATAGATTTGACACAAACTGAAGATGATGCCCCAGGAAATGATGATGATGATGCAGGAGAGGAGGATGATGAAGATGAATGTTTGGTACTATCAGATGATGAAATAAATTATTCCATTTGGCAGGCAAATAAGACAAACCGTTTCAAGGATTCCAATGATGATAATTCCATAGATGCTATTCATTTCAATGAAGTAAGAGATACTTCTATTGTGCTTGATATAATAGACAATGAAGAATGTCCATCATCGCCTCTTGGAACAACACAAAATTCTTACAACGATTTTGTAATGAAATCTGATGATATGCTTGAAAGAGGTAACAAGGAATACACATCTCCCACAGGACTAAAGAAGAATTCTTTTAACAATTTTGAAATAAAATCACCAATAATATCTTCAAATGAATTGGATTATAATATTGAAGATATAAACAATGTGTCTTCATCTCCTTCCAAGGAAACACAAGATTCATACAGTGATTTTGAAACAAAATCAAATGACTTGCAACATACACTTGAAGGGGATAACCACGAATACCCATCATACCCATCTCCAGCAGGACTGAAGAAAAAATCTGTCAACGATATTGAAATAAAATCTCCATTATTAACAAATGATTTAGATTATAATTTCAAACAAGGGAATAATGGAGAACCATCTTCCTCCAAGGCTACACAAAATTCGTACAGTGATTTTGAAACAAAATCGCCAACAAAATCAACAGATTTGGATTATAAACTAGAACGAAGTAAATTTGGTATTATGGAAGAATTTTCTGAACCGCTGGAATCTATGACACCCAATCAAATCTTAAGTGAAGCATCATTTCTTCAAACACCCGATGACTTAACAAAATCCACAAAACGTTACAGTTGTGCCAATACGACTAGTGAAAAATTCACTGCCTTGATGCAGAGTGTTGAACAAGAATTGGCAAATTTTGATAATTTCGACGAATTTGATATGATGGTTTATGAAAATCATAAAACTACTACAAAAACCAATACATCATTTGCTGCAACACCACAGGGTTTAGATCAATTGTTAACAGCTGAAATTAGTTTAACAGAATCTCAAAATACCTCAAGCAGTCAAAATTCATATCTGCATCACAACATGCCCTCAACATCGTCATCTGTGGGTAAACTAAAAAAATACAAAACATTTAGCACCAACATCCAGTCAAACGCCGCAACAACATCAAAAACAACAAAATTATATAATCATAAAAGTTCTTCGGATATACCAAAACCTCCACCCAAGACGCAAAATATTCATGGTGATAAACAAGCCCTAACGATTAATAATAAAACTTATAGTATACGCACATTACCAGCTGATGAAGTTAAACCAAATTATTCCCAGTATACAGAGGCGGAATTGTTAAAGGCTTTGTATAATTATGGTATCAAACCTTTGAAACGCAAACAAGCTGTTAAACTATTGGAATACATATATCTTCAAACTCATCCAATTTTGATTGAGGAGGAACCAATTGTTGAGAGTGTTATTGAAAATAGTTGTACTTCATCTAAACCACATGACATTCTTAAAACAAAATCAACAAAACATCTCAGTCAACTAGAAGCACCATCGACGACACCAATCGATGTTCCAACAGTTGTGGGTAATAAATTAAATCTCGTTGATGGTCTTGGTTCTGATATGATTCAATATGCCATTGATCTAAAATCTGAACTACCAGAAGAAAACTATATACTGCAGACTAATATAACAAAGAAGGTAAGAAATTAATTTATTATAAAATATTAATAGTTTCCCGACAAATTGAAAAAAGCCTGAAATTTAGATTTTTCTTTAAATGTTATGGGTTTTTTGGAAAATAATTTGAAAGGGTTAGGTGAAAGGTTGAAAGGGTTACGATAATTAGACTGTTTTGGCAGTATTTAGTACAATTCGTCTTTAGGGAAGCAATATACCTAAAACCTTTTGTAGGTATATGTGGTATGTAGGGAATTTTGAAAATTCGTACTAATGTGTACTTTATGGTACCAAATTTGGATTTGGTTGAACCGATAGAGGTGGAACTTTTACATTTGGAGTTAGGATCATTGTTGGCGTAGAATTGATCTGTTTAGGAAGATTTGGATATTCCTACTAATGTGAACTAAATTTTGTACAATTAAAATTTTGGGTGAACCGATGCATGAAGTTTTGGAAATTTGTACTAATGGTACCAAATGCGGATTTGGGTGAACCAATTGAGCTGGAATTTTGAAATTTGACGTTCGGATCACTTTTGGGGTGTAGGATTGGGATTTGTGGAAAGTTTTGTAAATTCGTACTAATGTGTACTAAATTTGGTACAATTTAAATTTTAGTTGAACCAATAGACCTGGAGACTTTGAAATTTGGAAATAAGGTTACTGTTAGAGTGTAGGATTGGGGTATGGATGTAGTTTTGGAAATTCATACTTAGGGGTACTATTTGGTAGATTTGGTACAGTTTGAACTGATGGAACTGGGATTCTCAGATTTGGAGTTAGGATCTATGTTGGGATGTAAGATTGAGCTATGTAGAAAGTTTTGGAAATTCGTACTAATGTGTACAAAATGTGGATTTGGGTGAACCAATTGAGCGGGAATTTTGAAATTTGACGTTCGTATCACTTTTGGGGTGTAGGATTGTGAAAGTAGAAGAGTAGAAAGTTTTCGAAATTCAGACTAATGTGTACTAAATGGTACCCAATTTGTTTTTAGGTAAACCGATAGAGCTGGAATCTTGACATGTGAAGTTAGGATCACTGTTGGGGTATAGCATTGGGGTATGTAGGAAGTTTTGGAAATGTGTACTAAATTGCACTAAATTTGGTCCAATTTGGATTAAAAGCTAACCGATAGAGCAGGACTCCTGAAATAGAGTAATAAGCTTTCCATTGGATTGCATGATGTAGGTAGTAATGAAAATTTGTACTTATGTGTAGTTAATGGTACTAAATTTGAAACATATTTGATTTTGGTGAACCGATAGAATCCTGAAATTATATTCATTTATGATTATATTCATTTTTATTAACTGGTACTTAATTTGGATTTGGGTTAAGCTATATTTGAAATTTTGAACTTACAAAGGTTAAAAAATGACACCAAATTTTGTATAGAGCTACGTTTTTTTTTTGTGGTCAGGATTGGTGTGTAGGGTTGAGAAATGGAGGAAGTTTTGGAAAAACGTACTATAAGAGAACCTAGGTACTAAATGGTTCTTAAAGTGTTAATAATGATCGGTACTGGGTTTTAAATAGTTCCCACATTCGCTAACGAAGTAGCGGGACATAAGGACTTCAATTTACGGGCCTTTTTTAATACATAACTTTAAGACTACCTCTTAGACTAGTTTGATTTTCTCCACAGAAACCTACAAACCAGTAAGTAATTCCATGTAACCTTAACTAGAAAGTGATAACAAACCAAAAAAAAGATCACACAAATTAAATTGCGTTTTTTTTTATTCACAGACTCCCCAACCTTTGCTGCCATTTCATATTGCATGGTATAATTTGGTTTGTTCCAATCGTAAATTGCATGAAAGTATATTGATGTATGAACCAATTGATTTGCAGGAAATATATTTATTTCTCAAAGGCTTGGGCTATCGTTATGATCCAAAGGTAAAATAATTCAAATATATCACCAAAAATTCTAACTAGCTAAAATATATTCAATATTTTTTATATACAGGATCTCAAACAATTTTTTGATCAACGTTGCATTATATTCCGTTATGATCTTGCAACTGCTGCTGGCAGCAGCAACAATAACGTTAACAAAGACACGGCAAAGAATCGTCACACGCGTAAGAAGAAAACAAAACAAACCTCAAACAAATAATTAAAATAAATATTTCGCAATTATTATTTAGTGAAAAGAATAAGTGTAAATAATCACAATAATGAGAATGAAGAAATTATGTTTTATAAAAAGCCTTAATATATAATAAGTTGTCGGGTTTTTTTGTAATTATTTATGTGATGATCTTATAAACAATATATTTATATAATAAAAATATCAGTGTTTTATTTTACTTACGGCTTTATTTTCCATTTTTAAGAAAAATAAACAAATCAACCTTTTTTTCAAAAAACAAAAAACATGTTAAAATTTTTATTAACAATTCGTTGGTTAAAATTTTCTTCCTTTAGGTTTTTTGTTTGGTTTGTAAGATAAAAAGGACGTTTTAGTTATTATTATGGAATATTTTTTTTGGAAATAAATAAAATAAAACTAGAAACAAAAAGCGGCATAATTATTAATTGACGTTTGTTGTCAAGAGATTTGTATGTGTGTGATGATGATGTCACACTGTGTGTGTTTATAATCTAAAATACAAATACCACATATAACATTTGTACCATAATTTATTATTCTTAAACTCAAACAAACAAAAATAAATAATAAAAAATATTAAATAAATTTCAATAATAATCACATCACTACCATTAAAAAATAAATCACAATATAATTATGTATGTATGATGGTCAAATATATAAAAAATGAAACAAAGAAAATTTGTGTTTTTCTTTGTTTTTACGTTAAACTACACGAACTACTACATTGATTGAGAGGTTTACTTTGTCCTAATTTAATGGCATCTTCATCGTTCTCCACTTGCGTTATACTCGTATCTATGCGTCTCTTCAATTCCGTTGCCAACGCCACAAAAGCATCATCAACATTACGATTCTCTTTGGCTGATGTCTCCAAAACGTACAGAACTTCGGGTATGTATTGACACATTTGCTGTGCTTCTTCAAATTCTACTTCACGTTCATTTTCCAAGTCACACTTGTTGCCGACAACAATTAGTAGAACACTTGATGTCGTATATCGTCGCACCTCTTCAATCCATTTTTGTAGATTTGCAAATGAGTTGCGATTGGTTATATCATAAACTAAAAAAATGGAAAGAAGAAGATGTAGATTAAAAAAATACTTGTTAAAAAATTAATAAATCGTAACAAAATCTATCAACAGACAACCTATACTAACGGGTGGTACAAAATGAAAAAAAATCAGCAATATCTTCAAAAGTTCTTCAAATTTTCAAGGGACATTCTTTATATGTTATTGTTTCAAATTAAATAAAAATAAAGTTTGAAGATTAAATAGTTCAGTCTCCATTTTCGGTTTATTTATTTATTGAGAGATGCCATCAATATTTAATGATTTGGATAACTTGTTATTCCGAGTCAAACGTGTTCATAGATGCAATTGAGGTGGGTTTGCCATTAATATATATTATTTACTATTACACTATGTGCCTATAATCTAAAAATAACAACAAACTCAAATTATATTTCATTGGAAAATATATAAAAAAAAATGAATATTCAAAAAACAGCTGTTCGAAATCCAAGTAATTTTCATTATTGCATATGATACCCTTGGTTTTTAATTACCGCTGCACATCTTTTTGACATAGATTTTTTAGAATTGTTGTTGGTATAGCTTCCCACTCTGATTTTAGGCAGTTCATCAGTGCATGTTTGTTTTTTTAAGTGACGTCTTCCAACTCTTGTTTTCAAATGCCTGGTGACTGCGACGTCCAATCTAAAAATTTAATCCCATTAGCAGATAACAAGTCCTTAACCAACTTTGATGAGTGTTTTGGATCGTTATCATGTTAAAACACCCATCAAAGTGGCATTTCCCATTCAGCATATTGATTTTTAAAATATGACCGTAAGTAAAACGGTTTGGTTTGTATTTCTACAAACGCACCAAGTCCACGACATGACACTCCCATCCCCATGCTTTATTATGGCTTTTGAATATCGCGGATGTAGCCGCTACCCTTCGGTCTTCAAACATAGCACACTCAATCTGAATATAACAAGTTAAATTTAAACTCATTGCTGAATAAAACAGTTCTCCATTTTGCTATACTCCAGTCTACATGAGCAGTAGCAAAATCCATATTAAAATATATACACATATATGCATCCTTCTACCATATATAAATCCTTCTCTAATTCTAAAAATGTATATCAGATAATCCTACAAGGTAAGGCCACATTTATTTCAATATTTTCGTTCTTACCACAGAAAGAAAGGCAAACATAAAATTACAAAAATGACTGACAAAAATACTCTAAATATAATAACCATGAATCATTACACAAGAATAGCAAATCCCAAACCACATATGAAGTTAACCAACCAAATGTGCGTCAAAGAAAACAAAAATACAAACACCACTTACCAATGATAACACCATTCGCTGAACGATAATAACTTTGTGTTATTGTACGGAAACGTTCTTGGCCCGCGGTATCCCAAATTTGTAGCTAAAATAAAAAAGACACATGTAAAATGTATTGTTTATTTCGATGTGATGTAGTTAAATTCTTCAAATACTTACCTTAACTAGTTTTCCCTCTAAACTAATGGTTTTCATTGAAAAATCCACTCCGATTGTATTACCCTGACGTTCCATGAAGTTACCAGTCTTAAAGCGTTCCACAATACAAGTTTTGCCCGTTCCAGCATCGCCTATCAGTACAACTTTAAATAGAAAATCGAAACTTTCTTCGCTAGGCAGAGCCATTAGAGTTTGAGGATTTCTGGCTGTCATATTTTAGCCGCAGTTAATTTGTTGTGTTCTAGAGTGGACGGACGGACGGTTGATCGGTATTGTGTGACAATGGCTGGCAATGTGTGATATCACTTTTTTGGATTCACAACACCTAGCAATCAATCAAGTGCAAAATTGTGGGTGTAGTTTCTTTTACCTTTCCATTAACCAGTTTCAATGAGATTTGTTGAAGAATTAACAAGACATAAAATGATTCTCAAAAGGGAATGTACATGAATTGCTTAACCGGAATATTTTGTATAATTGTTTGAAGTTTCTGGCTTGTGATTTCCTTTTTTACTGTTGTTGTCCTTTGTCTGTAAGAGATTCCTTTCGTGACGACTGCAATCGTTGTTCCTTTAATATTCGGCTGTTAGTGATGCGTTAAATATATTTACTTATATATCGATTTCCTTTTTATTTATTGAATAACAAAAAAGTAAAAAACCTTGCACTTGCTTTCTTTGAAAGGTTCTGTTCTTTTTTGTTGTTGCGTAGAAAAAAAAACAATTGTTTTTTTCTGTAGTGTTGCCAACTCACAATGCCACTTAGTTAGACATAGTTACTGGTGACGTATCGTACGTAAGGTAATTTAATTATGGGGTTTTTCAAATGAAAACAATATCAAAGACACACACCGATGTTTTAGTAAGATAATTATTTGAATTTTGAAATAGAAAAACATATAATTAATTTTAAATTGCAGAAGTTTAATTTTACATCACTCCACCAAATCGAAGTAGCAGAAAATGTCGTGATTTTTGTTTTAACTCTAAATATTGTGGTTGTACCATCCTAATTGTGTTTGTCTAGACAGCTGTTTCTGCTTTTTAGTTTGAGATATTTTATTATTTAGTTTGAGATAAAATTTAGAATAAAGAATCCCTTCCAATTAATCATTGGCAAGTGAGCTTCTAATTTGGTTTTATTAAAGTTTACTTGACTAAAAATTCGTTCCACATTTGCTGTGTAGTGTGGAAGATCCATAATTTTTTATACAAAGTTAGAGAAAAGTGGAAAAGCCAAATTGGAATCCCCACGTCTAATTTAGGAAACTTTTTCTCAAAAACTTTTCAACATTTTCAAAAATTTCTTTAAAATTCAGAAAGTTTAACTCCCTAAGCCCGAACTCTAAAGATTGCTTTTTAGTTTTTAAAATAAAATCGGGAAATTCTTTACAAAAAATTCTAGAAAAGTATTATTCCTCTTCTTATAATGATTTAAATCCGTCAATTTCATATATCTGTAAGATAGCGCCATATTAAATAAAAAAGTTAGAGAATTTGTGTCGATTGTTGAAATATCAATTCTGAGGCAAAAATAGAAAATCGACATTTCCCATTTTTAGAGTGAAAATCGTCAAACTGCCCATAAATAGGCAAAAATGGCAGCCCTGCGGCATTGTTCTACTGCTTGGGCACTGCCCCTGTAAGAATGCTATTCATGCCTGCCAGATACATAATGAAGATCTTTAATGTGAGCCTATGAGTCTATGGAAGGACATGATCTTCGTCTACTCATGAAGATGAAGATATTTCGCTCTGAAGTTCTCAGTGCGAAATAATTCACTTACATTCAAATAACAAAACCTATTTTATAAATACTTGCGTTTTCGTTATCCATTTTTATGTTTTATGATACAGAATCGAAATATAATTCACAAAACAATCAATTTGCTTGAAAACAAATTTGTTGTTTATTTACAAAACATAACAAAACAGCTGATTAAATATCAGCTGATGATACAAGAAAATTCTTACTGAGTAAATTTTTCCTTGCAAATACTCAGGAACACAACTGTCAAATTTGCTCTCTCTTAGTGGACTTTTGGGTAAACGAACAACATTTTGCAATAATTTGTACAAATTACATACCTAATACAAGGCAGAATATATTGAAGTGAAAAACAAAAAGCAACTATGTATATAGAGCTTTGTTCCTTCAAATATAAAATAAATATACGCAACAAGTTTCCCTGTATATTTGACTTTTGATTGATTTGTTAGAACAGGACACTACGACAAAAATTGTAAAAGCCGCTGGTAAGCTCCACCTTGTAATAATTATACCATTACTACAATCCATGTCTGAGGACATAAAAAAATTTAAACAGGTTCCATTTGGCGCCTCATTAACTAATTGTTATTTCAAATGCCTGCCTCGACTGACATTCTCATTTGGCATAGTAAAACAATTTGCTAATAGCCTAAATTAACACACAATTACGCAATTTTTAATTGTCAATGAAATTTTCACTTAATTTGATTTGATTATTTTCTTGGAACGCAAGAAGTACTCAAGTTTGAAATGTATGAGAAAATACATTACGCATTGATGGGAATGATGGTGGGTTTCCTTTTCCCGTATCAGCGATTCCAAATCTAAATGACATTTTCATGTCAATACGAACAGAATGTGTGTTACATTCAAAGTGTGTTTTTATGCAATTCATTGCTTGCGATTACAAAAACCAAACAAAAAAATCAATCTAATGCCAAATCAGGCAAAAATCAAATAAAAAACAAGACAATTTTTCTTTGATTTATGCCTACTACTGACCGATTAAACGAGTGCATTAGTTTGTGTGTGTGCGTGTGTGAACAAATTTGATTTGATTAGAAGCTGTTTAAAAGAAAGCGCCAATGCATTGTGGCGCTATGAAATGAAAATATACCTTGTCTACACTGAAATTTTGATTGTCGATTTGGGATATTATCGAATATTTTGACAATCACGTATTTGGCATTACATATTGTCCGTATATGACAACAATGCAAGTTGTTTTTGTTATTTGTATGTTTACTGATATTTTTCTATGTCCACCACGTATTTCAATTTCTATGTATACAAATGTGTGCGATAGGAGTTGCACATTCAGACCAAACCCTATTTTTGTAGCTATTATATTATATAATTTATATCACTTCACAATTGTCTTTATTAATTAATATTCCAAATTTGGCATGTCCGGCTAAATTTGTTAAATTCCAAAAGAACTGGGAACAGCTGTGTGTGTTCGTGTGCAAGAAAATATTAAAATGTGTTTCCGGCATTTATGAAAAAAAAAGAAATTTAAGGTAATACCTGTAAATATGCAATATTTTTCACAATAATGTTTTATTGTTACAAAAGAGTTATTGTCTTTGAATATTATTTTAATGATATTTTATTATAAACACTTTATTATTAATTCTTTGAGTGCGCAAAATATCGGATTAAATTATAATAAAATCTGATTAGCGCTAACCCAAGCTTATAAAATTTTTCAAATACTTTAAAAGTAGTAGTGTATTTCATGGTACAATAGGTTCGTTCGTTTACTCAATAATTTGTACAAATTATTACAAAATGTTGATCGTTTAACCAAGAGTCCAGTAAAAAATAGTGAATTGAGAGAACAGATTTGACAGTTATGATACAAATCAAGATCTTTTCTTAACGTTTTCATAATGGAAGTCAATTCACAATAATGGATTTTGATAGCAAACTTAAGAAGCAGCGGATATCCAGCTTGTCTCCCTGGACATTTGATACAAATAAAATTTACTCAGTAAGAATTTTTTGTGCTATCAGCTGATATTTCATCAGCTGTTTTGTATTATTTTGTAAAACGGCATATACATTAGAGGATTTATTTGACATATATGCAAAGGAATTGACAATTGAAACCCACTGGGTTAACGAAATCCGGTTAAATGTAAACGTACTATAAGCAAACAAAAAAAAAATGTTCTCAAGCAAGATCTATTAATAAGGTCATCCAGGGAGACCAGCTGGATATCAGCTGCTGTCAAAATCCAAGTTTGCTGTCAAAATCCCTTATTGTGAATTGACTGCCATTATGAAAACGTAAGCAAATTATAAATTATTGACATTAGGCTTGTGAATTAACAGCTGATTTTCGCTAGCTGTTTGATTTGATTAATAGATCTTGTTCTCAAGCAAATTGATTGTTTTCTGAATTTGATTTTGTATCATTAAAAATTAATAATCACAAAGAAAACGCAAGTATTTATAAAAAAAGTGCTCCTTTTTTGTTTGCGCCAAAATGTTTGTTGTTGTAATCAGCTGTGTTGATATAATGTTTTTACTGGATTTTGTTCGTTAAAATTTTGCAATTTTCTCTCTTGATCCCCCTATGATTCTAGGAATTCCGAGTTTTTTGAGAAATCCTTCAGTCTTCTCCATTCACACTTTCCCCCCCAGATCGGTTAGTCCGTGAAAAGTCTCATTTCCCAAGAATTGTTTCCGAAGTCATGTAAATGGTGGTCATTGGCATAGGAAATGTTTCAGCGGTTCTTTGTCTTCAGGCTGAGGTGTCCCGTAAGAATACCCGTCAGTCGGCTTGTTTCTTTTTTGTTTGGGGTTAGCAGTTGCTTAGTTTTGTTTTCATTTTGGTTACCCCTTAAGATTTCGGTGATCTTTCTTGTCCCCTCATTTTCCCAAAGGTTTTTGTGGGTGTCATTAGCCCATACCCTGATTTCTTGACATGTTGCGCTAAAGGGTTTGGCGGTATCCACATCTATTGTGGGTAGTGCAGTGGCACTCCTAGCTAGTTGGTTTGCTATCTCGTTGCCTGTGATTCCTTTGTGACTCGGTACCCATATAATTCGTATTGGTGTTGATTGTTTCCATCTGGCAACTCCTTTATATAGAAAGAGGTGTTAAAAAAGACGCCTCCGAATTTTTTTACAATGAAAACAGGCATTTATAATTTTTCTATTGTAAAAAATTGCGAATGCTGACACGTTCTTTGAACTCCATTTAAAGCCTACGTCTCTTCTACAGAAAGACCAGCATATATGGCCTTGTCAACCCTGAGCTCTATGTGGTCTTTCCATCTATGTTTCCTATCTAGAATTACTCCCAGATACTTAACTCAGTTTGACATGTCTATCGTTTTGTTTTGGAAGATGGGCTCTACCTACCTATTTTTGTCTTTCTAGTGAAAAGACATATCTCCGTTTTGTCCGGATTTACTTTTAAGCCCCTCTGTTGAG